GTGAGCGGCGTGTTGTGCCAGTGCAGCCCCCCGCGCGCGGCAGCCGACGGCGGCGCCCCGGGCCCGCATGGGCGAGCGCTGTGCGGGGCCCCCGAGCAGGAGCGGCGCCTTCACGCGCTCTTTCAGAAGCTCGACGTGAACCGCGACGGCGCCCTCTGCGTGCACGACCTGGCCGTGGGGCTGGGCCGGCTCGGCCTGCACCGCACCGAGCGGGACCTCTGGGTGAGCGCCGGCTCGTGAACCGCCTATGCCGTCCCCTCGCGCCGGGCTGTCATCAGGGGGTGCCGGGTCCTTTTAACCCGGTGCCTGAGGGGGGCAGGCACCCAGAGATTTCAGACGGGCCCCGAGCAGAGATGTGGGTTTTCCGGAAGTTTTTCCAATGACCTAAATAGCACGTGATCTAATTTCTATCCATTCCTTGTTACTAATGAATCTTGTGAAACAATGAATTTTTAGAAATGGAAAATTTTCTATGGAAAAATTAAGCACTAGAAAATTTTCTGTTTTGGAAAAATTTTCACCCTACATGTCTGGCTGCAAGAGCCTCCAAATGTTTTGCCTGACTATGATCTGTCTGAGTCCTGTGCAGGAGAGGCAGGCTTCTGTGTTTTTCTGTAGTCAAAAAACAAGCGAAAACAAAGAGTTGGTAGCTGTCAAGGTTTTAAAGGCAGTCCTGGTCACTTTTGACACTGAAACTGCAGTGACCCATGTGTTTCTCTTAGTGTCTGTGACTAGGTGTAAACTGAGCAAAAGCAAAGTTTGAAGAAATGTATTTCTTCCAGAAAAAAGAATATTTAAGAGCCCATATTTGTGTTACACGGGTGTAGGTTGTAGCTGTGTTGGTTTAAGGACATACGCAGACAAGGTTCTTTGGGTGAATCTGATATCTTTTATTAGACCAACTTAAATAGTTGGAAAACAATTTTTAAGCAAGCTTTTGGGTTCAAAAACCCTTTGTCAGGCTAAGGAAGTTTCAGCAGTTGGTGTGTGCTCTTCCTGGATAGAATGAATAGTAAAGAAGCCAGAGGCTGGGCTGGTCTGCATACAAGATGGGCAGTCAGTGAAGATGTAGATTGAGGAGTCAATGAGTGAGAGACAGGCTGGGGTGGGGGCCGGGGGCAGGGAAGTAGGCGAATAAATAGTGGCGAGGTACATGGGGGATCAGGTGTCAGGCAGGTTATAATGTGTCATAAATCCAATGTCTATATTTAGTCCATGATTTAGTATCCAGGAGGTTGACGAAGAGGAGTTCATAGGCTCGTCTGTGGGAAGTGTTGTGTAAGTTTCCTTTGAGGATCAGGACTGAGAGATTGGAAAGAGTGGTTTTCTTGTGAGAAATGTGCCCCCACAGGTAATTGGGTATTCCTGTCTTGGATAGATTTCCGGTATGCATTCATTCTGGTGCACAGTTGTTGTTTGGTCTCTCCTATGTATTTTCCATCAGGGCATTCGGTGCATTGGATGAGATGTACATTTCTGGAGGTGCAGCTGCAAGATCCGGGAATGCTGATGGCACTCTTGTGGGGTGTAGTAATTGTGGGGAGGGGTGGAGATGTGCCGGCAGGTTTTGCGTTTCCTGTCATGGCATGGTCTGGATCCATTTGATGCGTTCTGGGCC